GAACACCGCAACACACGTCCGCCAATAACATTGATCTTGAGCCATGGCGTCCAAGCGCTTCAACTTGCAATCATCCGCATCTCTCGAACCCCAACCGGCCGAGGTCAACTGTTTCACCAGCCTTTTGTGCGGCTTCTCCAAGTTACAGGCTGTCCACCAGGCCGTCTCTTCCAGCACTGTCCAGCAACCGCAGACAACGCACGACGCAGGTAATGCTGAACAGGCATGCGCAATGCATGTTCCAGCCACCGCAACTGATGCAGTGAGAAGAGTTCCTCGAGCGAGTGGCTTCCTCGTCCCAAGACACACTAACTTCTATATTGCTTACGTGGTGCCGCCACCACACATGGGCAATGGATCGCAGACAGCGGTGCTCGAAGACAGATACTCTGCGCAGATCACCTTTACGAATGGGCCAGGTCTCGCATTTGTACAACAGTACAGCACGAACAGTTTGCACAATAGACCCGCCCTTTGATGGAGAGACGAATGTCGTGGCGATGCCACAAACGCTTCGGTCTGGAAAAAGCGAGGCGTGTTCTTGAGATGCGCATCGAAATCTTGTCTCCAACAGCTCCGCCAGCAGTGATGCAACTTCCCAAGTAAACAAAGCACTCCACAACTTCCAGTGTCACACCACCAATAGTGAGTGCAGGTACATGCACCTGACAGTCTTGAAAGAGATCCGTACATTTGTTGGGGAAAAGTACATACCATATTTTGATGATACAATCGCCAAGCGGTTTAATGCAACCTGGACGGCGTGCAGATCGTCATCCAGCAAGACAATGTAATCAGCACAATCCAAATCAACAACTCGGCTACCTGAGAGGAGCTTAATGCCAGCGTTCAACGAATCGCTCAGAGCGTTCTTTAGGATACCTCAATGGCAAAGTTGAATGGGAACAGAGCGATAGTGCAGCCTTGACGAACTACATGGAGACCACAAATGAGGGCGAAAGTTTGCCATAAGCTTTAACTCTGCCCGAGGTCAGCCAATACAGAGCGCGCAGTATGGAGACGAGCTTCTCGGGGACGCAATTCCTCAGCATGCCCTGTCACAGTACAGCCCGAGCGACAGAATCGGTGCACGGATAAACAAGAAGATAGCCATAGTTGGTCTCTGATACACATGGCAGAGCTCGAGAATCTGGCGAAGTGTGAAGATTTGATCGATGCAGCCGCCACCAGGGCAAAATCCAGCTCGCTCTCCTCGCTGCAATGATTCGCGTGTTGGGGATAGCATGCAAAGTATGATGGACACCAGCAGCTTGCCAACGACAAGGACCAAGCTTATGCCTTTGTGGTTAGAGCAGATTGTGCGCGGGCCATTTTTGTAGATGGGGACGATTATCGTTTTATCCCAAAATGATGGAACTTTCTCTTTCGACCAAACTTTCGAGAACAAAGCAGCAAGCTCTCGAACCAGCGAAGCGCCACCATGTTTAAATAGAGCTAGATGAAAGACCATGAGGGCAGGAGCTTTATAACGCTCCATGTGGTGGAGCTCCTGCTCGCTTTACTGGTAAGAGGGTCTGTGGGGGTAAACCACATGGCACCAGTGCGAGCGTTAGGGATAGCAGATGGAGATGGGGGTCAACAAAACTGCGAGCCAAAATGTTCGGCCCATCGTTCAAACCGTCGTTGAAGCTTGGTGATCAAGGTGCCATCCTCTTCTCATATTGTTTCACTTATACCAGATCTAACACCTTCGGTGACTCGAATGGGATGGAAAAGTTTTCTGGTATTACCAGAGAGACTAGCAAGCTCCATCTCCCTAGCACGTTCACAGGACCAAACTTCGCGATCCATTTGCAGACTCCAGCGCAATTCTCGACCAAGGGATTGGCGTTCTTCACTATGACTGCAATCCGACGGGATCAAGCGGCGTTTGTCAATCAGCTACAAGGAGACGGCGGAAATCCAACGCTTCGGTGGGTGACAAGCAACTACACAAGTATCGATACTGGCGAAAACTAAAGCATCCTTGACCTGCGCACACTGCGAATGGAGGTCACCGTCAATAGTTGAGCCAAGCAATGTTGACAGTGAGGCTTGATACCTGGTTAAAATCGCAGGGTTTTGTAGAGTTGCGACGCCCAGTCGGTAGTGAACGCGCTTGGGTGATCCTTTGAAACGGATGCAAATCCTAGCATGAACGAATGTGCGGTAGGAATCTAGATAAGTTGCTCAGCACGACCGGCAGTCCGTTACGCTTCCGCGTCATCTGTAGTTGATTGCTACGTGGTCAAGCTGGGAACACTCTTGCGTTTGTGAGGGCGTGCGCCAGGTAGCAGCGCGTCTCCTCAAGTGCCGTAAACTAGTGCTCGAAATAAACAAGCGATGATCAGAGCAAAGAGCAAGTATTCTGTCTGTCTAATCGACAACCACCGAGACCAAAACTTCCCGAAGGTGGTGCTCGCTTGGTGGAAGGCGGCCCATCTGTGTGTTAGGCTCCGGCAAGATTGACTATACCAGTCCATTTGGAGGAACGCAGAAGTTTATGCAGCTGCTGGTAAAAGCTATCCTTGATTGCATCCGGGTTGCAGTCTGTAGGGGCGTAGGCCGAGACGACAAAAAAGGAACGCTTAACGGCTCGACGCCTGCTTACATTAAATGAAGTTCTTAATCGGACTGTGCATAGCCGACTATTGACTGGGATCTAGCCCATCAGATCTGATTCAACCCTGACACTTAGTGTAACCCCAACACTAGCTTGGCCAGGGGCGGCAGCTTCTGGGTCTCCGGAAAGCCGCAAGTGGTATTTGGCGTCAGGGTTTACCGGAGAGGCCATTCTGATGACGGCGTTAGTGTCTTGTAATCTGGTCTCTGAAAGGTAAGATAGGTCTACCGATAGCATTTAAAGAGTACGGGCCAGACATGTTTGTCGTCTGATCTGCATCAAAGTTCGAACATTAAACGCTGTGATGATGAATGGAGAACCAAGTCAAAGAGCTAGAGCTTCGGTAGAGTGAGAGACGGTTACGATCGGACATCAAAAACCGGGAGTTTGTTTGTTACTCCCATCAGTTGAGAGAAGCGGGTCGTTTGTGACGGTGACCGAAGAAGACGTAAGAATAAATGTGGGTGAAGGATGGGAGATGGGGTGATCTGTGAGTGGAGGTTGAGGAGTTGAATTAGTAGAGATGATAGGCATAGCAAGAGCAGTAGTAAGCAGTGTGGGGGTGATACTAACCGGATGTCCAGGCCGAAGTAGAGGGCTGTCTTAGGGGCTCTACCCCGAGCGTTTGATCAAAGATCTAACCTACAAGGCAGTAGGGCGATGTGAGGGCATCGCAACCCGTTCGGAGCCGGTGACCAAACAAATGGCTCATGTGCCTCTGGGTCCGTGAAGAATAATGGGTCCAAAGCACCCTTGAAGTACAATGCCTCTCAGGGAGGGGCAAGGGGCAGTGACTTTATTTAGTGGCGAGTCACATCCGTCACGTCACAGTTTCGTTAAACTGATATTTGTAGCATTTTATAGGGAGAAGGCTTGTCAGGCGAAAACCCACCACGTCCTGGAACACTGCCGCCGAACCACCCAGCTGGCACCACGAGATTGTCCAGCAAACCAGCAAAGATTTAGGGATGACCGTTTCTTTTTTCTTGTTGAAGCGTAGCAGGCTGTTGCTGCTGGATATATTCTTGCTGCTGTCATAGTAATAGGGAAAACTGTGAATGAGCAACCCTCTCTGCCACCAGTTTATAATCGCGGTTGATGGGGCGTAGAGCCTTTAGAACAAAGACTTCCCTAAATTGGACAGTGTATTGACCAAACGTCAAATCAAATGAAACAGGCAAGACGGCCGGCAATTTAACTTTAAGGTGTGAGGGCGTCGGACAGGCCGTATTGCATGATCGGCGGCTTCATGCACATGAACCACAGTAGAGCAGTGAATGAGAGCGAAGTTCATGGCCAGACGTGTGGGATGACATTGTAGTTTTAAGCACGGGATCGCCTGGGGTAACACTCGGGCCACACGTTATCATGATGTCACACCCCCTACTGCGCGTCGAAAAACTGCTACGTTGCTCCGGCTTGACTGCAAGTAAAGAGAATTGGCATGTGGAAAAGCACTCCTTCTGGAGTTCCTAAAGTGCATCTGCCCGTACACAGAAGACATGGCACAGAGACCACTGGCCAAGCTCTGACATAGACCTAGGCTTCTTAGACGAAATCGAGATGCTCATTATCGAAAGCATAGTACGCAAGCCAACTGATCATAGGGAGACGGTTTAGCAATCCGAGGAGAACCAGCGAAAAGCCAAAATGGTTATTCGGAGGCCTGTATGTCAGTGGACTGCATCAGTGAGCCCATGAGACCAACTCGACAGTTCTAGTGTACATTGGCCAGAGCGAATTTACGTAGACGGCGAAGACGACGGAAGATAGACCTTACCAATGGAATAGCGATGAAATGCAGATGTGAAAAAGAAAATCAGTAATTAGGTGCAACACATAATCCACAGCTGCATACCATTTTTATTCAGCACTGTAAGTATCGAAGATGGATACACGAGTAGGATTAAAATAGCAAGTAGATACTCTAACCAATAAGTTCTCCAACATCTGCTATCCAAGGGCTGATCGAGAACGCCAATCTGGAAAACTCGAAGACATTGACTACTGAGAAAAACACGTCGATTCCTAACCAACCTCTACCCCTCATTTGCTTCAGTTTTACCTCAGGTAATCACCTCGAAGCTGCCGTGTCCACATGGTGCATGGTAGTGCAAAGGGATCCCACTAAAAAAAGCAACTTACCACTATCGACAATTCGCGTCAATCTTTAGGTATGCACGCTTTCAGATAGAAGTGGCAACAGTACGCCGGTACATCACAGTGACGCGTAGCTACCACCACCAATCGCACGCTGGGTGAGAATACTGCGAAGCCGCCCGCACTTACATAGGCGACCAGTGGCTACAAGTCAGACGCCTGAACAACTGGGTCCATGGAGCGAAAACGACATCAACCATTATAACATGCCTGTTTCAAATCATCTATACTGTATTTGGAGATGTCGGGCACAGACAACGAACAAACAATAAACAGAAACCCATTATTATATCCGCGAATTGAACAGTTCACCCAAATGCCGACTATTGGTCACACAAAAATCCAACACGTAGATGGCAGCGAAAAGACATGAAAACTGAGACCACCATCGAACTGTTCTTCCCCATACTAGTTGTGCTTCTTCGTCTGTACACCTGCTCAGAAGCATGCATGTTCACTTGATGATGAGAAAAGTAAAAAACTAGGTGGATCCCGAATCGGCTTTCAAAATGTATGTATGTAACCATGTCAAAATGGAAAAGGCAATGTGCGCACAAAATGGAGAGGGACAGGGATATTTCTGCCAATACTTTCATGCACTCGTCGAAAACGCCAAGCTAGAGGACTTCATTCTCATATGGTTGCTAAACAACGAAATCAAACAGAATCTTCTATGTGAAGCTCGAATTCCTTTCGAAACCTGCGGAAATGGCTGCGCTCATCTCGCGGTCCAGTCACACCAGGTTTCTTGGATAAACAATGGTAAAAGCGCAAGAATTTTCCACCTGCATCCCCACTTAGACTTTTTCTACGTTTTGTTAACTGGTAGCGTTGACAGCGAAGTTAACGAAAGAAGTACAAAAAATGGCACATTGGGAAGAGAATCATGTTGTATAACAGACAGTTGGAGTCACAAACCAAACGAATGTGCACACCTAGAACGACATTACACGCTGGACCTGAGCAGTAGTGGCCACTGATCTGGACTGCAAAACAAAATCAAATCGACAAGAAAGTGTAGAAAATGTAAAAGGGAAAAAGGGCCGGGAAGCGAATGAAAACGAAGCCATTAAAATGATCGCAGATTACTGAGAGCCACAAGATGCGGAAAAAGTCAACAGGGGATGCTAGGGGCATAATGTTGCGAGCAACGGCTGAATTCCGCGTCCTGAAAAAAGAGTGATAAAGCAGAGTGGAACACAGTGGTGATTACCTTCTCTGCAAGATCCGTCAAAAAAGGATGAGTTTTGTTTGACTCTTTCAGCTGTGACGTAAGTCTGTTAATAGTCTGAAACAGAGAACGAACGGAGAATTACCAATGTGGAGAAACAGGTTGCCTGTTCAAAGTCGAAAGGATAAGAGACTCAAATTCTTGATGCTCAAATGAAAAAAGCCAGTGAGTTAAGCGCATTGACTTGCACCACGGCTTACTGAAAATGATTTCCCTAATAGTCCAAAAAGCAGAGAACATGACATGGTAATTTTTGGTTTGAGCTAACTACAATCCGAGTCCATACAACGTGAGCAATGGCCTGAGTAACTGTGGATCAAACGGCAAATAAGACAATGCGCTTGTGGACTTAATTGAGGATAACATCCCACGTGTAATTTCTAGATTAACAACCGACAACTCAACTAAACAATTTAATGGGAGTATGCACGTCAATGTGGAAGAAGTCTCGTTTCGTCCATTAACCAGCACAATTGTCGGTTCCATCCTCGATTGAACCATTAGGATAAGGATGTCCTGGATGGTGCCAGCATCGGCGCCTCGAGTTGATCCGGTACGCTAAATCAAAGCTTGTTATGTGTTAAATGTGGACAAGTGCCCGGTTAGGACACAAAGTCCGGAAACGAAAGATATGAGACTAATGTTACATTAATAATTCATGTCAGTGGCGCCGTGTTACGATTGAGCATTCATCTTAAATGGGCGCATGAGGAAAACTCAACTTGAGTAAACTTGAAACGAGCGACTGGAAGGCGAAAAAGACATGGAGAAACAAAGTAGAAAGTAAGTCAGGGAAGTGCATGTACCTTCCCGGATGGGCTGTGATTTTGCGAACAACCATCCTTGCTAATGCCAGCCCTTCTAGTTCGTAATGACAGCTTTTAGCCATTCCTGATACATCAGCGGGTCTACCTGCCCTTTCATACAACTAGCCAGACTTTCTCCTATTCAGTCAGTGATATTAATAATGACAAAGAGGAATTACTGCATACTGGCGGATGGAAAACAGTTCACTAACTAGCTAGCAAACCTGAGAATCAAAAATGAAGATTGAGCGCGATCAGAATTTAGTCTGATCAAAAATTAACATATTTGTAAGGAAAGCTACGCTCAAGTTGAGCTAGCTCGATTTGGTTCCCCTTGATCGGTTGCCTCTGGCGAAAACAGCATATTCACTAATTGAGCCAATTGACTGTGCGGGCTCACAAGGCGATGCTCGCTCATTCGTGTAAATGTTGTTGGTCGGTTGGCGGCGATCGAGCGGCTTTCAGACTGTCGGCCCAAATTCGTTTAGATCGCCCATTTGATAGGCAATCAACCCACCCCAGAGGGTGGAACTTTGCGACCGTTTGTGTACTTCCTCGGTAATCCGAGCTAGATAGTGCCTTTGGAACCGATCATATCAGTTTGGTAGTCGGACGAAGTCAATCTCCACGCACTTCAGTCTGGGCGCCAGGAACACAGTGTAGCCCACTGATTCCTCCGAGTTTACACCGGATATGGGATGTGTGGATGAAACTGTGAGTGGTTCAGCGCAATCCACCCATGGTCCCTCTGTAGGCGCAAGCGTCCTGTGACTGTCCTAAGGAGGCCGCAGTGACAGGCAAATCCGGAACCGGATACCATCAACCATGTAGCCCACTTATGTTAGATCCGGTCTCCGTCACATCTAGCAGTCTTGGGTTGGGCTTTCGAGCTAGGATTTAGTCCGGCGTTATAATCGTTTATTTGATTTGAAGTATCCAAGCCGATCTACCATCATGATTGTCATCAAACTTCAACTTTGCATCGGACATCAGACGAATTCAAGAGTGACCGCATCCACTGCGCACAGAAAGAAAAATATTAAAAAACATTGTTTATGCTTGCACTTTCAACTTTTACATTTCTTCTAGAGTAACTGATGACAACTACAACACTGTCCGTAATACATTCTGGGAGTAACATTTGGATTCATTTCGCAAACAGCCCCTAATCATGCCAAGCTACCCTGCTGCCATTGCTTCATTTAAGGCTCGCACCTACAAAAGATAGGTCAACAGACTGACCTTGCACATACATTGGACCCTCTGAATGTTGAAGAGGGTTGCTTTTCCGAAACCAAGATCAGGGAACCTCTCATGTTTATCGAACTCACTGCGCTCAGCGTATTATCTTGCCACTAGCTACACTAATCCACAAATACTGAATCAGTGGTCCGACATGGCACTTGAGTGGACACCGTTCTTAACCCCAAAGTCATTGTTCGCTGATTGGATTTCTGTGAATAAACGTTTGTGTGCGGCCCCTTTGGTGACATCAACCGAAGTAAGCGCACGGTGCAGCGACAGACGCTGTCTATTTGCCACTACCAATAGCTCGGCACACTAATTCACAGTGGCACATGACCAGAAGCAGTTCCACTCTCAGAGGAGCTAAACGCATAAGCAATCTGTCGTAAACCTGAAGAATCTAAGCTGGGTAGAAAGTTTGGTGTTAACTCCGTAAACACCGGAAATGATGAACACTAATTGCAATTGTGCTCTGAGCACCGTCCTCAGATACAATGGGCGCGGACGCATTAAAGGGCGTTATCTGGTATCTGACAAACGATGGGCCCAAATTCACACTACCATAATATTCGGTTAGCGTGTTTCCATCCTGGACTGTCGCTCGTTTGGAACACGCATGTCAGCACTGATCATGAATTAGTACGTTGCTAATTCTCCAGTAAGTTGGAAAGACAGACTGTCGAAAAACATTTACAATAAGGATGAGAGACTAATTCGTTGAACACAGCAGTTCAGTTGCCTTCCCTCTCCCCACTTTTGTGCGCTTTCGCGTTTGGGGAGGGGCACACGCTCAAGCATGGTGCGTTACCTTAGGAGTTCCGACGGAAGTTAAGATTCGTAACGCGAGAACACTGTGTTATGGTCAACGCGCGTCCTCGCATGAACCCTGTCCAATTGAGAAACGCCTCCACGTACTCACCTTTGGCACAGGCACTCGTGTCCGTGCAAACCCGCATGTTTCTCGACATTCGCGCGTCCGCACGTTTGATTGTGTAGACTGTGTTATGTGCAGGTTTACAAACGCCGCCAGCCCCGATAGACAGTCGAGACTATGCAGTTATGTGCTTGCCGTTGTCGCGTCATAAAAGCACTTTGGCGAAGACTCGTCTTCTCTCGCGCTCTTGGGTTTGGGTGCGTCAGTTTTGATTTTCAAGTAGCGCGCAGTTCCGACTAGACCGTGACGTTCGCTAGGGAGCAGAATTTGCGAGGACCGAGTTGTTTATTCGGACTAAGTGAGCCGCTACCATTAGGAGATTATAGCCAGTCCGCAATCGTTTGCGGACTGCTGGTCCGAATTTCCTTTCACCCACGCTATTTAAAGATGGTGGTGAGTTTTATTGTAAAGCATTGCTCCACAGGTTCGAATAGGAATAGATGCAAAATATCGTCTCAGTCAACCGGAGCAAGTCGATCACAGTGCAGGTGAACAAGAGGAGTGGTCGCACTGCTTGAGTAAACGACCGGAGATTAGCCCAACGCAAATAGAGATAGTCGGTGGCATCAATTCTGATTCGTTGCTAAGTTCAGAAAAAGCAAATAGGAGAGGAGTTGGGTTTTCATCCGAGACCGGGCTGTATGGGTAAGACTTTCACTCTACCGCAGGTGCTAGAGCAGCGTCACAGTACAGCAAGACAAATACGGCTATGTTCCTGAATTCCAACAACGTCTTCGACTTGGTCGTCGCTCAGTCCTTTCGGAAAAATTTGCTCAGATCAGTGTTCTCATCAAATGCGAACAATCTACTCTAACACTAGAAGCAGCAGAAAAGCAGGTGGAGAATTGCCAGATTCTGTTTGGGCAACAAATGACGTCCAACATGGTTATCCGGCTGGCTTGCCGAACAACCTCCTCGTGGTGCCAGCTGGGTGGTTCGGGATTTTCCCGTTCCAGCAAATGGTTCGGCGGCAGTGTTCCAGGACGTGGTGGGTTTTCGGCTGGCAAGCGTTCTCCCTATAAAAAGCCACATATGTCCGTTTAACAACACTGTGACGTGGCGGACGTGACTCGCCACTAAATAAAGTCACTGCCCCTTGCTTCATCCTGGCGAAGCATTGTATTCCAGCAAGTTAAAGCTGTAATTTCGGGGAGCATTGGGCCCCTGTTTGGCAAAGGAACAAACGAAAGGCGTATGAACTGATCAATCAGTCACCGGCTCCCAATGGGCGCGATTCCCTGAATTCGCTCCGCTGCCTTGCGGACAGGCTATTCAGCCAAAGGCTCGGGGTAGTGTCCCCTAAGTCAACACCCTACTTCGGCTTGGGCAACCGGGTAGTATCTCGCCCTCTGAGGAAACCATGGACATTGTTGTGTTGTGTTTTATTTTACTATTTCTGTACCTTCGTTTGAATCCCATGGTTTCTGATGGCATTATGTCTATTCGTAGACTTTTGCAAATATATATATATATATATATATATATATATATATATATATATATATATAAAACACGGTTATCCAATCTCCCCACTTGTTCATCTTAATCGTGTTGCATCATAGAATATTCCATACCGGAATCCCAGAATGTGAATATTGAAGTGGTGCTTGCTGGGAAACTGGTTGACCCAAAATTTTCCTGTCAATTTGGTCGTAATATTAGAGAATAGCAAGGCAAACGTAACTCTGAATAAATACCATAGAGTGGGCCCTTCAGTGGTGATGTTTTGCACACCGAGGAAGCGTATATCAGCCCTTTAATTCATAACGACAAGGAGCTGAAGAAAAATGACCAATTCAGGCATCATACAGGCTGCACAGGCAGCGGTGGACACGTGACTGCTGCAGTCAGTTCAAGTAACACGAAAGAAAGTGGTGTATTCCCGTATCTGTGGCATTTAACACAAGATGGGGATCTCACTCGAGCTGGGAGACCGAGTACGCATGGTTACAGTGAGCCCCTTTATACTTTTTGAGGTGAGTTGGCGTCTCGGATTTGAGATTCTGAGACAGTACAAAACGGTGAAAGTGTCGGATGGCCCCAGCGCCTCCGCAACGGTGATGTGCGCAAGCAAGTACTATGCGGTGAGAATATGTGGGCGCCTTAACTTCGCGTGTTACTACTTTAAGGTGTTTAGGTGTTACACTAGGTCCCGATTCTCTCCTTTCCTAGGTCACTGGTTGTATGGCACTAGCTCCAACGACTGATGTACTGCTCATGACGATGACGCTAATACAAGTATAGATGACACTTTCTGGTAGTCAATTTTGAGAGGGGTCTAGTTAGACATTTCCAACCCCAGGAATTTGTGTTAATGAATTGACTCATAAAGAGACGGGAAGTAAATCCAGCTCTAGAGATGTAACTGCGGTTCTACAGGATCTCCCTAAGGTTAATCACAAGCAGTCTTGCAAAACACACAATTCATGTGTGACCTTGATTATCAACCGCGTAAGACAGATGAGATTCACATCTCATTGAAGGCGGCTGTTTGATGGCAGCGAACAGGTCAACAATAGATGAACGATCAAAACGTCGCAGTCCATAGCACCTGTGTTCTACGTTCAACGAGTTAAGCTGGTGTGCCAGACAATGCTGTTTTCTACATGGGGGTCATTGGACTCCCCATGACATCAGGTAAGTCTGTCTGATCACTTGGCATGAAAATGCCTGGTGTGAGCAGCTTGAAAAATGGAATTGCCACCTAACGGAGTACGGGGTACGCTAATCGAATCACTATGTTAATACTCGCCCAGTTATTGAGGACCTGCTGTACGCAACCGATCAGGCGACTTTACTGTAGCTGCGTGGTGATAAGTGCTTGATGAGGACGAATTGTGGTGCAATGATAATGGCGGTGTACGTCATTGGACACCGCCAGGGCACCCAAACATAAACAGTGGAATAATGGATAGAAAAGATGAAATGTGTCCATACTCTGGCAGTACCAACATTCGTCCGTTAGTCATGGTTGCTTAATTTAGTCATATAAGCAAATACACCAATGATGGGTGCAGACATCTAGATGGTTGTCCGCCCCCGGCGGCGTTTAGACCACAAAGAGAAAAGAATCGAGGGGATGGCTTGGAAGCTACATGCAAAACGTTTGTTGGAGGACAAAAGTGATGGATTTGGAAACAAAGCACAAGAATATAGTGATAAAATGAGTGATAGCCAATGCTTACCTCCACAGGCTTCCCAAGATGGTGCGAGACTACAATCATGTTGACAATTGAATCGCTATTGCTGCTGTCCTGTAACCCAAAGTGGAAAGGCACAAATGAACATACGGCTATAAAAGAATAAGGTACGGAAACGAGGGGAACATGATGGAAAGTCTGGTAACACTTATGTGAAATGAACTTCAACCTTAGTAAAGTAACCAAATGTGATTAAAGCGATAATAAGATAACGAAAGGGATCATACGAGGCTGGAAGCATAAAAGGACAGACAAAAAGCGCAAAGGAAAAGAGATCAAAAATAGATAAAAGGATGGATACAAGTAACAGATAGTATGCAATAACGATAATGACCGTGTGGTCTAAACATTTTAAATGGGCTCCAAGTTACTGAAGCGGCCAATGCAAAGGTATCCAGTAAAAAGGATAGTATGCAGCAGCTCGACCGAGAACGGGACCAATTTATCTAATTGTCGACCACAGAAACTTGCTTGATGGGTCGCAGCATTAAGAAACCACACACACAATGGGGTAGCCACTCGCTATGTATGTAAAAAAAGACATATGAAGTACAAAACACAAGTAAACAAACTAGGCTGTAAGACGGCTATCGTACATCCCGGAACGGTCGTTTCATTCGTTAGGCAATCGTCAGCAGTGCATGACTATACAATAACGAGTCACTGTTAAAGGACACCGGGTCACGGGAACAGTTGTGACTACCATGACTTAGATAGTAGTTGCGACAGCGCAGCTGTGTATTTGGTTGCTATACAACAAAGTTGATTACAAACTAGTAATGCCACAGACCTCCGAATGTGTGTAGAATGTCAGGCAAACACCGGGATTCAAAAGCGGACAACAACTAATGATGTAGTCATGGTGGAGCCTTGGTTTGTGCACCAGATACACAGCAGAATTACACTTCCTTCAATGACCGATAAGCTGATGTACCACAATCATCACGAAGTGCTGACATCGTGAGTAACCGTCAGGACACACGCCACAGATTCGTCAATTGTGTGATTCTTGCAAGCGGCACAAAAAACACAAGAGATTGAGTCCATGAATTACAGTAATTGTAAGCCATGCTGTAAAACAAGCTAATACCGAAACAGTGTACTGCGATTTAAATACACGAAGAGTAGTGGTCTACAAAAATATATCCAGTAGCGCTCACACAGCTGCAAGGTCAGGCCAGCACATTACCCCCTCGTCGGTAGGTCAGGAGACGGAATATTCACGAGGTGAAGCAAAATTCCGCAACCATACGAACAAAATTTTCAGAGATGAAAAACCGAGTAAGTTTGAGACAGGTGAAATTTAGTGTTGAATTGGATAAAGAGCTCACAGCAGACCGTAACGCAGCTTGGGAATCACAGATCGAAATTGGGAACAAAAAGGAAATTTTTTACGCCCTGACAATAACGGAGATCGTTAGAAAGTAATGAGGACAAACTCCAAGCGAGTTCGAAAAAGCGCCACTAGAGATCAGTTAAAGTATGGCCTTGAGCTAGAAATAGAAATATATACACGTAAGTAAATAAACAAATTATATATATATATATATATATATATATATATATATATATATATATATATATATATATGGTACGCAGCACCTGGTTTCGGGTTTGCCCGTCAACGTGGACAGCCACAGGACGCCTGCGCCTACAGAGGGACCATGGGTGGCTTGCACTGCACCACCCACCCATATCCAGTGTAAACCCGAAGGAATAAGACCGCGATGCATATGCATGGGAGCCACGTTTCACCAACGGAGCCGGCCCACACTCCTTCACAAGCAAAGACAAGCCCCCTGTATTTGGGGAATCAAGCGCACACAAGGCAGTGTCTGGACTGTAGTCCGCTCCACACCGAGAGCAGGGAACCACGCTTCGAGCCTAGCACGGCCACAATGACCATGTACCCCGTCCCCTCCAGCAACGACCAACTGTCTCCTAGAGTCAGTATGAACAAGGTAGTAGGTAATAGACAGGTAGGCACTTAGTCAACATGCACATCAACAGCAGCCACACCGGGGATATCAAACAACAGCCATTCACTTTAAACGACAAGCTGAAATAAAATAAATCCAATAATGCATACAGATACGGGTGCCATAACTTCGCTAAATTACCATATGAAGTAAGTTGGTTAGCAACGAATCCGTGATAAGTAAAAAACGTCCACAAATTGCTTAAAAATGCTACAAACGCAACAAAATTTCCAAAGATAAGCGCAATCAGCATAAGCAACGTGGCCAGTTAATAGAAGATTATTCCGGTAGGCAGAACAAATCAAATGAAGTGGAATGAAACGTATCCAGCTCAAAAAGACCTAGTTTAAGTATAAGTTGGTTTAGCCTAAATGCAGTAAAGAAGCATCAAGAATGCAACATCAGCCTCAGCATGGGGTATATATATATATATATATATATATATATATATGTATATATATTGCCTCTCAACAACAATCAACATTAGTTCATGGTAAACTCAACTTGACCATGTCCTGGTAACGTAACTTTGCCACGTGTCGCTTCCCTGCACTAAGTTGTCTTTGTAGCGGCTGCTTGGGTATCTGCGTCGAATCCATGCGGTCGATATGCCCGATGTACCTCAGGTGCCGCATCAGAAGTACGCAGTACACTGCTTACATACCACTTCGACGCAGCACTACCGTGTCTGAAACTTGGTCACGATATATATATATATATATATATATATATATATATATATATCGTGACCAAGTTTCAGACACGGTAGTGCTGCGTCGAAGTGGTATGTAAGCAGTGTACTGCGTACTTCTGATGCGGCACCTGAGGTACATCGGGCATATCGACCGCATGGATTCGACGCAGATACCCAAGCAGCCGCTACAAAGACAACTTAGTGCAGGGAAGCGACACGTGGCAAAGTTACGTTACCAGGACATGGTCAAGTTGAGTTTACCATGAACTAATGTTGATTGTTGTTGAGAGGCAATAGCAGAATGCGGTTGTGTAGATTCACGAGAAATATTGCAATATGAGGAAGAGAAACGTCGGTTGAGGAACTAACAGGCACTGATGGAGTCTAACCTACCGACATCTAGTGCATGGCGCCGTAGCATAAACGGTCGCGAGTGCCTCAGTTTAGCTGGCCTGGTGGGCCACCAGCGCAGACACGCGGGTTCAACACAACAAAAGACGAGTGAATTGTGTATGCGATGCTCGTCAGCGTAGCGCTTGTTAAGCATGCTGCTTTCAATTCCACTGTATAGCGACACGTGGGGTAAAATTGGCATAAATAAAGCACTAATTTAATGAAATAGCTCTGAGCGAACTGTTTGGATACTTCATTAAACTTTTAAGTCATAAATTTTGTAACCACCCATAACCAGGTCTATAATTTATTTTTATCATTACAACATTCAGTTAAGCCATCTTCTCTCATGTTATACCTATGTTACCCCATGGCCGGGGGAAAATAGATATGTTTCAGCGTAAAGTGGGTATTTCGTCTTCCACCAATTACTAACGTTAACTTACAGTAAAAGAATAAAGCAGGCGTTAACAAATTTTGTACAAAAGCTTCATATTGACAAAGATTGTGATTTTAGGATATTTTGCGGGAAACAGTTACTGCGGAAGCATGTCAGTGGTGTTTATGGTATAAATATTTCACTGACAGCATATTGCTAGTCAAATTTATATTGTTCATGGCGATTGCAGACAGGATGGCATCTTTCTAAGGATGTTTACGGCTGAACCCTAGTAGGATCCAACCAATAATTTTGTCAAAAATTTCACCGTGTACAAACCTCCGTCTCATATTTCAATAAGAAGTCCAAGAACTCGTGCACAGCTTTTTTCGCCTACACAGTTGACTGAAACCTAACCTCCAATGATGATGATATTGCATGTATGTTCATCCTTGCTCACTTGTGTACTCTCTCCGGTCTGCCCCATATCCGTCGGGAAGTTAAGAATGGAATTGGCATTCTTTGAACTTGTTTTCTTCGCTTCATTAGCTTTTCCTCCCTTTTCTTCTTTAAGTAACCTGACTGATACGTCCTCTGTTGTTAATACTTCTCCTGCTATTGCCTGAACCCTTTTTTTCATTATTGAGCATTACCTGAGTAATATCCACAGAAGTTGCAATACTGAGTTGAATGACTTCTTTACCAACTGGATAGATCCTACTGATTGTGAATCCATTCATAACATTTTTGTGGTAATCGGTCGAACAGCAGGGAGGGGAAAACTCCTTGCTAGCTTTTTGGAGGCTGCTCTCTCGAAACCACATCTTCAGAACAGACTACCAGGTCAACTTTAGAGGTCATAAGACATCAAAGTATGATGGCTGAAGCGTATGGCTAGCGTTTGGTGGCAAACGCATTATTATTATTAGTATGTTGTTTTCCATGGCCAACTTTACTGCCCTGTAAGTGCGATGGCTGTCAGCTCCAACATAAATAAACAGAATTGACTTCTCCACATGTGTTACACGTTGGATAAAATGCACGGACCAGGATGCAAAAATCTGAGTCCTCTACCCATCCTGATGTTGTGACGCCAGAGCATGACCGCGCTAGACCACCTATAGACGACTAGGAGTGATACAGATGTAACCCATTATAGCCGCAGTTTTCATGTACTATAGTCTATTACTATTAGCGCACATTAGACTGTATTTGTTAAGGCAGTATGAATTAAAATTAGCATCAAACAAATGACCTCCAATAAACTTGTGTTAAGTTGCTCTGTAAAATATAAACCTACGCACTTTACCGCAGCTAAGTTAATCAGTATCCATTTTTAAAATATATTAAAATGCGTTGTCTTGTCTGTACATACAAAGATAAACTTTTACTGATCAATAATATGTAGTTCATAACAGCCTAAGTTTAATATTCAGTTAATTCAAGAGAAGTTTTACAAACTACTGTAGATACACGGCGGCCAAAAAACAAGATGGCGGAGGTTCCTGTATTTTAGTATTAAAGCAAAATATTATCACATTGTACAAAGTAGCTACGAAAATCATTCAACTACTATAAAAGTCTACAAATGTTCATCCAACTTCAAAAA